ATTGCTGCGGAGACAAAGCAAACCCCACAGGCTGCAGCAGCAGCAGCAGCTGCAGCAGCTGCTGCTGCTGCAGCAGCAGCAGAAACATCAGGAGCAGAAGCAGCAGCAGAAGAGACAGCAGCAGGAGCGGGAACAGAGAGAAGTGCAGGTGCATCGGCTCCTGCTGCTGGTGCTGCTGCTGGTGCTGCTGGCGCTGCTGCTGCTGCTGCTGCTGTAGGGACTCGACAGAGGGAAGCACTGCCTGCTGCTGCTGCTGATTGTCTTGCTGCAGCACAACGCTATACTGCTCGTGGTGCTGCTGCTGCTGCTGTTGTATTAGAGGGGGAGCGGTTGCTGCTGCATGCAGTGGGGCCGAGCAGGCTGCAGCTGCTGTCATTGAAGGGTCCTGCTGATACACCTGCTGCTGCTGCTGCTGCTGCTGCTGCTGCTGCTGCTGCTTTCTCTGACTTTGATGGTGTTGCTCCCTTCCGCTGCAGCAGCTTATCCGCTCTTATAGCAAAGTGTTTTGCTGCTTTGCTGCGGCCGCTGCTGCTGCTGCTGTACCAGGATGCAGCAGGGCAGCAGCAGCAGCAGCAAACTGGTGCAGCAGCAGCAGCAAGCGTACGCCAATGTGGGCTGCGTCTTGAAGATTTTTTCTGTGCATGTTCAGCAGCACAAAGGATCGCCCAGAGGTAAACCCTAAACCCTAAACCCTAATCCCCATAAACCCTAAACCCTAAACCCTAATATGGTTTCTAATGCAGTTTCGTTAATATCCTTGATGAGCATATGAGGGTTTAGGGTTTAGTGTTCCTTTGTGTGTTGGTATCGGACTTTCTATCTATGGTTTAGGGTTTAGGGTTGATTTTAGGGTTTAGGGTTTAGGGTTTAGGGTTTAGGGTTTAGGGTTTGTGTATATATAGGTGTTTCCGTTTAACAAGTCATGGAGATTTAGGGTTTTTAGATTTAATGTTTGCTGAATGGACTTCTTCGCAAAGTTTGCTGCTGCGGCGGTGGCTGCGGCAGCAGCAGCAGAAGGCGCTGCAGACACCAGATGCAGCAGCAGCAGCAGCAGCAGCAGCAGCAGCAGCAACACCAGCAGCAGCAACAGCAACAGATGCAGCAAGCAGGAAGAAAAGGAGAAAAGATAACGAACAGCAACAGGTTGATGATACTAGCACCACCGCCAGCAGCAGCAGCAGCAGCAGCAGCATTACTAGCAGCAGCATCATTAGCAGCATCAGCAGCAGCAGGAACAGCATCAGCAGCAGCAGCAGCAGCAGCAGGAGCAGAACAGGAGCACATCCTGTTGTTATTGCTTCTCTTGTTGCTGCTCTCCGCAACAGCAGCAACAACTCGACGAATACAGCAGCAACAGCAACAGCAACAGCAGCAACAGGAGCAACAGCAACAGCAGCAGCAGCAACAGGAGCAACAGCACAAGCAACAGCAGCAGCACCCGCAGCAGCAGCAGCAACAACAGCAGCAACTGGACGGGGAGGACGTGGTTTGTCGGCTGCTGGCGGCAGTAACCGCAGCAGCAGGAAGAAGACGAATGCCGACTCGGCAGCAGCAGCAGCAACAGCAGCAGCAGCAGCAGCAGCAGCAGCAGATACAGGAGCTACAGCTCTATATGCTGCTTTTTTATTAGATACTCTTTATTCTTTTTTATTTGAGGCAAAGACAAACACTCCTCTTAAACCCTTTTCCTGTAAACCACCAAACCCTAAACCCTAAACCCTAAACCCTAAACCCTAAAAATATTCAGGTGTATAATATTGATTCATATTTTATTTAGCAGCAATAGAGTCTTTCTTTTTCTTTACTATTGTTGCTGCTTGTTATTTATTCCCGTTTGCTGCTGCTGCTACATCTGCTGCTGCTGCTGCTGCTGCTGCTGCTGCTGCTGCTGCTGCTGTTTGTTTGTGTGCAGCATTTGGAGCTCGAGCAATGTTAAGGGTTTTATGGGGGTTTGCTGCTGATCCTGCTGCTGCTGCTGCTGCCTTTTGGAGAAAAATATTATTAGAGATAGAAAAACAATTAAAAAAGAAAGAAAACCCTAAAGTTATTCAATTATTAAATTCCCCATTCTCTTGGCTTTGATCCAAGGGTTTAGGGTTTAGGGTTTAGGGTTTACGAGGGTTTAGGGTTTACGAGGGTTTTTTGGTAAGAAAGGCCATTATTGGCAAACGTAAACCCTAATTCAACAAGAAAACTTATTTCTTTTTTATAACAAAAGACCACATAGGCCATCTCTAGGGTTTAGGGTTTAGGGTTTAGAGAGATTAGGGTTTAGGGTTTAGCACCCACAGGTTTCAGGGAGCAAGAGAAGACGAAGGCCGTCTTGCATACAAATCAGTGTTTAGGGTTTAGGGTTTAGCTAGGTAAAGAGAGCAAAGGAGAGAGAGAGAGAGATAGGCTTGCGAGCAACTGAAGAAAAATCTGTGCAAATAAGGGTTTAGGGTTTAGGGTTTAGGGTTTAGCTACTTAAGGAGAGTGACAAAGACGGGGACGAGGACAATCGCAATGATGATAATTAAAATAACAGAAATCCAAAACATGCGCTGCACACAAAACCCTAAACCCTAAACCCTAAACCCTCAGCAGGGACCCGGAGTCTAAGAAGCAAGAAACGCACCTAGGCTTTAGGGTTTAGGGTTAGTAGATACTCACCGCCTTCGCTGATTTCTGATTTCTTCGTGCCTGCAGCAACTCCTTCTCGGCCTTGGCTGCGAATCCGCACAAACCCTAAACCCTAGCTACTAGCCTTAAACCCTAAACCCTAGCTAGCCATATTAAACCCTGCAAACCCTAAACCCTAGGTGAATTAACTGCTTATAAAGGACCGTTTGCGAGCATTAGACCCTAAACCCTAGATCCCGAGTCTGCGTGTCTCCACCAAACCCTAAACCCTCCAAAACCGTAAACCCTCCTAAACCCTAAACCCTAAACCCTACCTGTATATTCTTTAGCTTGTTGTACAGAGTATTGAATTTGTTCAACCATTTCTCCTTGTGCTTCTACTAAGAAAGATAACTCAACAAACATCTGGTGTAACTCAGCAACACCTGAATACAAACCCTAAACCCTAAACCCTAAACCCTAGGAAACCCTAAATTCTAGGAAACCCTAAAACACAGGAAACCGTAAACCCTAGTAAACCCTAAACACCAACTCGAGGAAAAACCCCTACCAGCCCCCAAAGAACACAATCGCGCCGCCTTATAAGCTAAGGATACTGTCTAGGGTTTAGGGTTTAGGGTTGAGCGGACTTTGCTCCAGCCTGCGGATGTCACGGTATTTGTCTTGAATGTCTGCAGTAGCGTTCTTCAATGCCTGGTGAGTCTGCAGCAGTAAACCCTAAACCCTAAACCCTAATTCCCCGATCGTTAAGCGTCATATATTCCTTAGCAGCAACAAACATGATGCTAGGGTTGTTTGTTTCTTTGGGTATTTTTTAGCGAGATTAGGGTTTAGGGTTTAGCTACTTGAGCCAAATTAGGGTTTAGGGTTTAGGGTTTAGGGTTTACGTACACCAGAAACCTTCATCTTAATTGCTGTTGCTGCTGTAAGTTCTCCCGAGTCCACCAAACCCTCAATTTCCGAGTCAACAGCATCAGGGTACACTGCAGAGGGCCACAAACCCTAAACCCTAAACCCTAAACCCTAAACCCTAATTCCTGAATTAGGGTTTATCCCCGACGATCAAGAGGACTATCTGTCAGAGGATGAGGGTTTAGGGTTTAGGGTTTATTTGTAGGGTTTTATATGTAGGGTATTTGCAATATAAATATAATAAGGGTTTGCCTGTGGATTCCTTAAGGAAATTAGGGTTTAGGGTTTAGGGTTTAGGGTTTAGGGTTTGTATACTTACCAAGCTTAACTTGACGAATAGCTTTTTTTCTTACTTGTAATCTATACTCTGCCTGTCTGAGCTGTAGTAGCTGCAGCTGCTGCTGCAGTTCTGCTGCTAGGGTTTGCTGCAGATTTTGTCTAATTCTTAATTCAGCAACACAATTTATATTCCCTTTTTGTGCAGCAAATTGTTTATTTTCTTCCTTTAATCCTTCTATTGCTTTCTTTGTTTTCTGCATTAATGTTGTTCCTGCTGATAATACTTTATGTAATTCATGGGATACATCTGCATTATACAAACCCTAAACCCTAAACCCTAAACCCTAAACCCTAAACCCTAAACCCTAAACCCTAGATTTTTGATAGGATTTGGTAGACGGCTTCTTGGTACGGAAAGGGCACTATCTGCCATTGTATCTCCCTAAACCCTCATTATACACACCCTCCAAAAACCCTAAACCCTAAACCCTAAACCCTAAACCCTTTTTTTTTTTTTTTTTTTCTTACCTTTCTCATCATCAGGACTTGTTGCCTCTACTAGTCTTGTCTTAAGGTCCTGCATTAATTCAATCTTTTCTCCTATTTGTGCTAATGCCTCTGCTAATATATTTACTTTATTAAAATAATCCCCTAAAAAACCCCCTCCTTGGGGCCCCCCTGGGGGCCCCCCTGGGGGGCCCCCTCCAGTACCCAAACCCTCTTCCAAATCCACTGGAGACCCTCCTACAAACCCTGATGGGCCCCCAGGGGCCCCAGGGGGCCCCTCACCCTGATGCATCTGCGCTGCTGCTAATGGATGCAGCTGCAGCGCGAGGGCGCGCAGCTCCTGAAATCTATCCCTCATCTTCCCTCCCTCCCTCCTGCTAGGGTTTAGGGTTTAGGGTTTAGGGTTTAGGAGGAGGATGGTGGGGCCTACAAAGAGGCAAAAAACCACCGAAGCATTCTCAATATAAAGAAACAGATGCTGCTGCTGCTGCTGCTGCTGCTGCTCGAGCTGCTGTTGCTGCTGTTGCTGCTGCTCAAGCTGCTGCTGCTGCTGCTGCTGCAAGTGCTGTTGCTGCTGCTGATAATGCTATTGATGCTACAGACCGGGGCTTAAAGAAACAAAACCCTAAACCCTAAACCCCAGGGCCCGTAGCCCTAGGGTTTGGGGTTTAGGGTTTAGG